AATTGCGTGGCATGACGATGTGGGAAGAGTGTCATCGAGGCTGGACTGTTTCAGATCTCCGTCTTAGAACTGAAGTTAACTTGGGCCTTGGGTTGTTTGGGTTTATATGGAGCAACGTAAGAAAGAAAAGCATTCCAGGAGAGGAGAGTCATGAGCCGGAGTGGGATTGGTAGCGAGGTGCTGTGCCTGGGAGGTCTGGGAGTAGATCAGGTCGGGTAGAGGCAGATACTGGGCTGAGCAGTTGGGTAGGACGGACCAGGGCGGGAGCAGCACAGAGGGTGTGGTAGCAAGTGAGGGAATTGCTCATTTTCCCATCACACACGTGTATCTGTGGGGCTACTTCCGGGCACCCTAGTTTTCTAGTTCCCACCGGTGCACGGGGTGTGCTGCATTGTGCTTTAATGTGGAGTTGGGAGCTCAGAGGACCGGAGAAGAGTCTCAGGCAGGGCTGTGGCCGGTCCCGATCACCGTCTCCAGGTGAGTACTTTGGCCAGCACCATATTCCCCCGTTGCTTTGTTTGTGTCTGTACTGCACGGGGTCCAAATCTCCAGGGATGGTTCTTTGAAAGCTCTGAATACTCTTCCCAGGAAGTAATTGCACAGACACACAATTTGGCCTGTTGGGAACGTCTGAAGACGTTTGTATGACTTTAACATGGGACAATTTGGATGATGTCATCTTTGCAACTATAGAGTTCCAAATACGCCTTCAGTGTGCCTAAGCTCTAATAGCGTAAGTCCCAACTCTAACCATAGTATCCAAAAATCTCCTCAATTTTTACCAATAAATAGTTCTTTTCTCTTGAGCATTTTTATCATTTCTTAGTATTTGATGGAATGAATTTGTTTTCCAAGCTTCAATCACTGGTGGATGTATGGCCAGCTGGAATTGCTTCTCTGTTAACATTTTGCAACCTTTGATGTTAATTTATTTCTCCCTCTAACTGTTCTATATGTCAGTGTAGCTAGGAAAATGAAGTTCACTCTGGTAACACTCTGATTATTTGTTGAGTTGAATTGAAATGACTGAGGAGTTGCCTTTCCCACAAGCACACTGTAACCGAGCAAGAGAACTCCCAGTTAAAGAGACACTCCAGACAGAGTCTAATCTTCTAATGAACCTCTGCCTTCTAGGTCATTGGCAAGAAGGATTTTTCCATCTGCAAGGAATAAAGTTACACTTTCACACAGTCACTCCATGGTTGAGCGCCTATTAAGACAGATTCCAAGGGACGGTACTTAGATTAGAATTTCATTGTATTGAATATAGCTTCAAGTAAAGTGGTTTGTGGCTGCGATTTGTAATGTGTCTTTGTTTGCCGACTCACTGAGTAGCTGCCACGTACCAGACAGTGACTTCAGTTTGAAGTAGGCTGTGACCTATATTCTTAGTCCTGAGAGATTACTTTTAGCCATTCATTATGAATGACTAAATTTCGAAAAGTGGAAGACGGAGTTTAACTAAATGCCAACTTCTAAAAATGTCAGAATAATCGGATTTCAACCAGTTTTGTTGTATGGCATCTTAACTAGCATGTTCTGTCTGAATTGACCCTACTGCAGTTTTCTCGGATTTCCAAGTACTTCATTGATCTTAGTAGAAAAGGACAATAGGAAGTGTTTCTAGTCAGTATCGACAGCCTATAATAGAGGAAGTATGGTGGCCCTGATGGCACCAACCCCTTCCTTGAAATTGTCAATAATATTAACATCATTTATATTTTAAAAAGATGACGTTGCTTCAGAATGTAAAACTTAAGACTCCATTTGGACAACTGTCCGTGAAAAGAGCATGAGGTACTGTGTGAAGACTGTTCTTCAGGCTGCATTTAATTTAGTATGTGGTGGTGAGGAAGCGGAGACAGGTGAGGTGGTCACAAGCCCTGGTGAAGGGACAGACTCTTCTGTCTGTAAGATGCCATACACCAGGCATCTTGACTTCGGGTAAAGAGTCCAAGGCTGTAGGATATTTGAGACAAAAGCCAATATTGGGATATTAAAATTACGATATAAAGTGAAACTTTAAAACAAGTTTGAAGGGGCGCCTGAAGGGGTGCCTGGGTGGCTTAGTTGGTTAAGCATCTGCCCTCAGCTCTGGTGATGATCCCAAGGTCCTGGGATGGAGCCTTGTGTCGGGCTCCCTGCTCAGCAGGGAGCCTGCCTCTCCCTCTCTCCCGCTTGTGCGTGTTCTCTCCCTCTCTCTCAAATGCTTTTATAAATAAAGTTTGAAGATAAATTGCAAGAAACCGTGACAAACTACCTCAGTGTGAAAGCAAGTCTGTTTTGACAAAAGGCAAAGCCTGGGTGGCTCAGTTGGTGAAGTGACTGCCTTCAGCTTGGGTCATGATCCTGGAGCCCCCTGGGATTGAGTCCCACATCGGGGTCCCTGCTCAGTGGGGAGCCTGCTTCTCCCTCTGACCCTCCCCCCTCTCGTGCTCTCCCTCTCTTTCTCGCTCTCAAATAAATAAAGTCTTAAAAAAGGCAAAGTTACAGTACTTCCTTTTCTTTTAAAAAAAATGTGTTTAATCTTTGTACATTTTGCAGAATCTTGAGTGTTGCATTTTGCTAGGGAAAGAGAATAAATTGGATGCAGCGGCTGATTTCACTCCCTTTTAAGTAGCTCCGCTGTGTTTGACGGTAATCTCTCCAAGGGTAATCGAAGATTTTTTTTTTTTTTAAGATTTTTATTTATTTATTTATTTGACAGAGAGAGAGATCACAAGTAGAGAGGCAGGCAGAGAGAGAGAGGGAAGCAGGCTCCCTGCTGAGCAGAGAGCCCGATGCGGGACCCGATCCCAGGACCCTGAGATCATGACCTGAGCCGAAGGCAGCGGCTTAACCCACTGAGCCACCCAGGCGCCCCAATAATCGAAGATTTTAATCAGGTAATTGTTTAATGAGGCTGAGGAGCATAATGCTGGAGCTCAGTCATGCAAAATTTAGTATTTCTAGTTTCGCGCACAGCTGTGCCTCTGGTTATAAGTTACTGTATCTAATGCGCGTGCGCACACGCACACACACATGCCAGTGTGCAGACGCAGGGAGGGAAGCTGTGGCTTTGTTGTAGAGAATGCACTCTTCTCCCTGGTCAGGCTGGGACCCTCACGGAGATGTTGCTGCCACACACTGGGTGAAGGGCCTTTGGGTGGAAGATGGGGCTCTGTTCACGCTCTGACCCCCGCCCCTCTCTCACTGGGGTCCCAGCAGGCGCTCTGCCTTCAGACTGCCCTCCCTTGGCCTGTGTGCTCACCTGTCTACCCGCAGCACCACCTCGTCTCTCTGGGCCTGATCCCTCTTCCCCAGACGCCTAAAGTGTTCCCTGTGTGTTCTTTGATGTCTTGTTCACACCCACGCATTGATCATGCCCGATTTTACAGCTTGCCTCCGGTCCTCTGTTAATCATTCTTTCTGCAACCTTCTCTGTTCCAATGACTGGGTGGTTTCTGTCTCCTAACTGGACCCTCACCAGTGCCAGCGTCCTCTGCCTGCAATGCCAGGCTGCACTTGCCCGTCGCGTGCATGTACAAAGTGTCCCACGCGGCCAGCCCAGGCGATGCTTCACTCATTCATTCCACCAACATCGGAGTTCTGTGCCCAGTACGCACTGGGCCCGACTCTGGCATTAAGAAAGACTGGGCTTCAGCTCAGCAGGGGCTCTGAGACTGGGAGAAGAGGAGAATAAGTCGTCAAGTAGGTTAAAGTAGAGAGGTAGGAGTGTGTGTGTATCTGTGTGTGTCTGTGTCTGGTATTGCTGGGAATAGCGCATGACAAAAACTTAAAAAACTTCAAACGTGAGTGTGTACCTCTGGAACCTAAAAGGATAAATAAATGGAAATGCAAACATTGATAAATATTTACTGTTTTCAGTGTAAGTGATGTCCATAATTTTGTTCTTTCCCATTTGTGAATGTTCTTTTTTTCTTCGCACAAAGCACTTGAGGTGGGTAAGGTTTTCATTTATCTCATCTCTGAATGCCTAAGGGCAGGGACTGACCTTGCTCTTAACTACCTTGTACCCACAGTGCCTGCCATCTAGTAGGTGCCTAGTAACTGGTAGTCGACTGAAGATAGGCTGATTATACTGAGTTCATATTCCCCGGTTGGTTTTTGACTCCAGAATCAGTCGGTGTTTTCTTAATGTTACCAGTTCATGAACCATTCCAGGCACTTGTTTTTGTACTTGAGATGTGAACAGGAAGGTTGTCAGCACAAGTGCTTGTTCTCTTTTGTTCCTCTTCAGCCATTTATGGATGTTATCCCCCATCTCAGGTGTGCGTCAAGCAGTGTTAACTACTCCGTAGACCTCCCAATCTCTGGCATCCCTGTATTACAGGTGTAGAAATGGAGGTGAAGTAAATTACTCGAGGCTCTGCTGAGAAAATGTGGCCGATCTCCCCATGAGTGGTTCCCATGTCAGTCAGGTGCCCACCCTGTTCGTGTGCACATGTAGACATCACCCAGAAGCCTTTTTCCTCTCAAAAGACAGTTGCTTCCTTTCTAGTCCTAGAGACACAGCCCTTTGGCCCTCCAGGTACTTGGACATCCAGGCTCATGTGAACAGGGTTAGAAAACCTAGAAAGGGCCAGAAGTCTCTTCCCACTTTCTCCTATAAGAAGTCGTCTAGGGGCACCTGGCCGGCTCAGTCGGCTAAATGTCTGCCTTCAGCTCAGGTCGTGCTCCCAGGGTTCTGGGATCGAATCCCGCATCAGACTTCCTGCTCAGTGGAGCGCCTGCTTCACACACTCTCTTCCCCTGCCCCGCCTCCCTGCTCGTTTTCTGTCTTTTCTTGCAAATAAATAAATAAAATCTTAAAAAAAAAAAAAAAGGGAAAGAAAACGTCTCCTGGAAGTGTGGCCGCTTGCTGGCGAGTTGAAATTTGGCACAGGTGATGACCAGTGACCAGCATTTCGTTCCGTGAGAGACCCGTTGCTGTGAGCGCTCAGGAGAGCGGTGGTGCACTTGAGCGCACTAACCCGGGTGTCCGCTGTGTGTCTTCTCAGGTGCTGTTACCGCCTTGCGATGACGCCGCTGTGAATGGGGCTGCCAAGGAGCCGCCGCCCCCTTACGTCTCTGCCTGAGCCAGCGAGCGGGGCGGGACTGAGCACAGCGACTTCAGTTCCGGACGTCGGAGCAATAGTCCTTTTTTTCACTTCTGGGATGAGCTCTCTGAGCTTCGTTGTTGCTGAAATGCTCCAGTTTTAAAATGTAGACGTTAAGTGAAACCCTCCTTAGTTTTAAGCATAAGCTGTGGCTAGAGCATGGTGATGGACTCAGTGTAGAGTCCTCGCGGGGCGGGGCGGGGGGGGCGGCACTGGTCTTCCATTGTCTTCCCCGGGGTTCCCTTCCCCAGCAGTCCGGATGAGCCCCCAGCGTCAGAGGCAGGGAATTCATCATCACACCTTCCCTTTGTGTTCCCTCTGTTTTGAGAGTGTAAAATAAAATGAGAATTAGACGATGCTTTTCTTAAGCCATTCCAGTGTTGGAGCAAACCTCTAATGACAGACGTAGGTGTCCCTATCTATATAAATAAAACGAGAATTTCCTTAAGATTCTTTATGACTTAAATTCAATGACAGTTTTGTATTTGCTGTTCAAGGATTCTGTCTGTGGGCGAACTTGAGACCTCTCAACAATTCCAGGCAGTGACCACGGCCGCTCTCTGACGGCTGGTGTTGAACACCCACGCCTGGGGTCACGGATGGGCGGGTCTCACCTGTGTCACCGGTGTGGAGCTGATGTGTTTAGTACCGCTTGGTGCTCCCTTTCTGCTGGTTTTCCATGCCCACCCTAGTCACTAAGGATTTGCCTAACAGTATGAAAAAAGATTATCTTCTAATCTCCTTGTAAGGTACAGCATGCTATTTTGAAATTCCGAGTATGCCCAGTCATCTGTTCAAATGTAAAACGGTCTTTAGAGAAATGAGGAGCGGTGCTTTTCTTGTGGAATGTTCTTATCGCGACTACCGAATTTCAAGGAACTTTTGTATATTCATATGTGCAAAAGTCACAGCTCTCCTGTTTTTCATTGCTGTATTCATTGTTGAGTGTGCTGTAAATGAAGGCTTTGCAATTAAAGTGAGATTTGCCCACATCTGAGAAAGTAACCTTTTGATTTTGTGGTGATTGTGCTTAGGGAACTTTCCTACTCATAGGTGGCCATGCAGACACAGTTTGGCCCAAGGAAGCACCTTTACAACTTGTTTCTCCCTCCCTCTCCCACCCACCCACCCACACACCCACACACGTGTGTGTGTGTGTGTGTGTGTGTGTGTGTGTGTGTGTGTTACCCCCTGTTTCATTGCTGATAAAATCAGAGCATCTCAGGCCAAGAGAAATGGATCCCAACAGACCTGAGCTTCTAACACTTCTAAACCCCACCCCTGCCAAGCTCAGTGTGCTCAGCTGTTTTGCATATGGTTGCTTTATGTCCATGATGTACTTTTAATAAGCAGTTCGGACTTTACTCCATTCCAAGGGAGATTAAATAGAGGAGGTAGGAGGGGGGAATTTTTATCCCGGAGACTCCGCCTCGGTGATTTCTTTTGGTGTATCTCCTTTATAAACTAAACCTAAGAAATTCTCTTCTGGGAGCTTTGTGCCCGTAAGATTCACAGTAAGTAATCATATTAAAAGCTGTTAGGAATGGAGTGTTTCCCTGATCTCTGGAAGGCTCACAGGACATCACAGTTGCTTGCTTGGACCTCCCTGTGATTTTCCAGCCCTTTGCCTGATAGTTTTTGTGTTACAGAAAATGGCACATGGTTAAGTAGAATTGTTGATTTTGAGTCTGGGGGCTGTCCTCTGAGGGAATATTGTTCGTGTGATGCTCAGACCACATCACAGACACCAGGATATTTCGTCACTCTCACGTGTCCCATCTGGAACGGACGAAGCAGCCTTTCCTGACCCACAGCCTAACCCAGGCTGTGCGGGAAAGCTGCATCTGTAGTTCCTCTGAGTGACGACCCGTCCTCTCAGCTCCCCTGTGGGGAGGTGGTGATGTTTGGAGCCCATTCCGTGACTCAGGAGTTCACTCTGTCATTCACTCATTGCCAATCCAGTTAAATACTTCTCTTTAAAGTATTATACTATTTTTTTTTTAAAGATTTTATTTATTTTTTGACAGCACAGGTAAGCAAAGCGGCAGGCAGAGGGAGAGGGAGAAGCAGGCTCCCCGTGGAGGAGGGAGCCTGATTCGGGGCTCGATCCCAGAACTCTGGAATCGTGACCTGAGCCGAAGGCAGATGCTTAACTGACTGAACCTCCCAGGTGCCCCTCTTAAATGTATTTTATTTAATTTTTTTTTAAGATTTTTTTTATTTGACAGATCACAAGTAGGCAGAGAGGCAGGCAGAGAGAGAGAAGGAAGCAGGCTCCCTGCTGAGCAGAGAGCCCGATTTGGGGCCCCTGATCCCAGGACCCCAAGATCATGACCTGAGCCGAAGGCAGAGGCTTTAACCCACTGAGCCACCCAGGCGCCCCTTATACGTATTTTAAATCCAACTTTAATATCTGACCCTCTTCTCTGTTTGCTGTCTACAGTCATTCCCTCATTTGTCCCCATGCCGGTATGCCTCTCAGTCACTCCACTGATGAGAGCCACTCAGCCTTTTTCATCTTGACCGTCCTCTGGAGATCCTTAGGACTAGATCCTGGATGTGCAGCCCGGCGCCCAAAGGTGTGCAAGTGGACCCATGTGGGAGATTTTGGGTCTGTTCTCTGGGCCAGAGAGAACAGGAAGCGGACACCTTTTGCCCGAGATGTGATCTGTCACCCTAGGAACTGAGCTTCCATTAAACAAGCTGGACAGATTTCCAGAATGCCCAGTCATATGGAAGAGTTTTAAGACCAACAGACCCACCCACCCCTTCCTGTACCTTCTTCCAACACAAAACCTCATGGCAGGATCTCCCCCAAGTCTGCTCTCCTCGTCCCTTACCCCCACCCCCTGCCCAGGTCTTACTGCCCCCCGAGAATGCAAGGAACCTTCCCTCTGCTTTTTACCCCACCCTTTTTTTTTTTTTTTAATTCATCTGTTCTGGCCCTAAATATTTGTTTAGTTTGACTGCTGACCCAAACCACACCTCATTTTATGGGTCTTTTCACTCTCAGTTCGTTCATCAACAATACTTCTTAGCAATGATCTCACTAGACCATCTGTATGGACACTGTCACCATTAGAGTTGTTTTCTCCATGGAGCAATGTATTGTCTTTGAAATATTCATCCTTGGAGAATAAAACCCTGCTGTGCAAACTGAGCATTTGTGATCAAGGAAAACTAATGAGACTCTGAAAATCGTTCCATTTCTTGAAAAACGTGTAGCTTTCACAACCCATCTAGAAACTGACAAATATCATTAAATAATATTGCTGCTTATTATGTAGGCAGTTACTAATGTTCTGAAGGGGAAAGGGCAGGTATCTTTGCCAGACTATCAAAAGAGCTGCACAAAGGAACCGCCAGCATCAAATACGCCCTCCCCAGGCTGCCACCTTCAGACCTAACGTGTCAAACACAGAGCCAGAGCCTTAGAGCCGTGTAAAATGGGTTTTTTTGGCAGCTCGGAGTGGAAGGGAAGGAAAAGGGCTTTGCAAGGATGTCTCCACACCCATGGAATTCACTTAAAAGTGTCTCTGCACACTAGCCAACTTTTCTGCCAAATAAGTATGGAAGCCAACCAGATCGGTGACCTTCCCAGAAGCCCACGCACGCCTTTTGCTGACTGTAGCACACAGACATAAGAAGAGGGAAGCTGTCGTTGGCCAACCTAGAAAAAAATCACATCAAGGCAGCAGTCTTAGCACTCTCCCCTCATCAATGTGATCCTAATTAGCAAGAGCAGTTGCTGCTCCAGAATCAGGGGTTGGACTTAAAACAGAGTAATGGACTCGGGCTTGTTTGTTTTAGCCCAGCTCAAACTTAACACATGCTTTTTAAAAAGTCATTTACAGTACACACACAGTCCTGGGATCGAGCCCCATGTTGGGCTCCCTGTTAGGCGGTAAGCCTGCCTCTCCCTCTCCCACTTCCCATGCTTGTGTTCCCTCTCTGTCTGTCAAATAAAATCTTAAAAATAAATAAATAAATGGACTTAATTTAGAAGAACTAAAGAAACATCCAGTGAAAGTAAAACAGTGACAAAGAATAATTACAAATACATTCCTTTGGCTAAAATGAATAGATACGGTGATGTGGTGAAAAGCCACATTTCACACACGCCACCACACAGAGCACAGAGTCCTTTGTGCTGGGACTGGTGGCACGGAGAGCAGATCCATTTGTTCCCTTGTCTTACCACAGCTGGGGGCTCCTGCGGGTGGAGGCCACAGGTGGAAGCATTATGGGCTCTTCAGGTTGGATGTCCCCGATCTAGGATTCCAGCAATCAGGGAACTTAGGACTTTCCAAGTTTTGAGTAGGCACAGGGGGTGCTGAGATGCCACCACAGCACATGTGGGACTAGTAAGGGGCAGACAAGATGAAGACCCGTCCAGTCTGGGCCTTTCCTGGAAGAACTGTGTCTCAAAGCCTCCACGCTGGCCAGCCATGCCCAGTCCACTGGGCTCGCCCAGTGCTCTTCCAAACTCGCTTTGCTCTGTTGGAGCAACAGACCCCGGATGTCTTGACATACACCAAGGAAGAGAGGTTATAATTTTATTTGCTGAGCCAAAGACGTTCCCATTTTAATACACTCAATAAAAACTGTGTGTGTACTGTAAATGACTTTACACCCTGGCTCCAGGACCCCAGGATCATGACCTGAGCCGAAGGCAGATGCTTAACGACTGAACCACCCAGGCACCCCAAATTAAGTCCTTTTAAAATTAACATCTTTCCTACACAGAGCTCCCTTCAATAAATAACAGGCTCTGCTCTAGCCCTGCTTTTGTCCTGCTTTCTGTCTTCCCTATCTCGGTGGCTTACTGACATGTCCTATTCATTGTGCCCCAAATAGAAAATTGGCCTCTCTGGCCTCAAATCTGTTACTGTTGACTTGTGTTTCAGCTGGTGGCCTCCCCATCATCCCAGTCATCCATCCAGTCATGCCACTTGGAGATAAATCATTGGTCCTCTGTCTTGTTCTTCTTTTTCCCTTTCCCCAAATCTGATCAGTCTCCAGCCCTGTGGCTTCCACTTTTAGATCAGGTGAAACCATGTTTACCACTTACTGACCCCCTCCAGTGTGCCTTCCGTTCTGCTGAGCACTGCACATGTACAAACTTCATCTGCATTGTACAGACGAGGGAAGGAGATTTCTAAAGGAAGGAAACCGGTCCAA